CTGCAGCCCGCACCCCTCCCCCTCCCCCAGCAGCCCGGCCTGTCACCACAGATTAATGGTCTCCCCAACACCCCCGCCCGCCAGTCCAGTACCCAGCCAGCCAGTCAGACAGACGGCCAGAGATGGAGAGACCGGCAGAGCCAGGAACACCGGACACATAGACGCACACGCACAGACCACAAGTACACAGAAGCGCACGCTGAGGGCCAGGAACAGGGCTCCAGGTGGGAACAACAGAGCCAGGGGCCAGAGGGGAGAGGGAAAGGCAGCCAGATATGGGGCCTGGGTGTGGGGGAACATTCTGGACTCAAGGCCAAGGGGCTGGAGACCTGGCAGGGACCCAGAGAGCCAGAGGCAGTGGGAGCAGGGCCAGGAGGAGGGCTGAGGAGGCCGGTGCTGGCGGCTCTCACGCGGGCCAACTAGGGGAGTTGCTGTGGAAGGGGCAGGAGGCAGCCACGGGGATTGAGGCATGGCGGGCAAGGGACAGAAACCCCCTGTCCCAGGCTTCTCACCCTCTGCCAGGACTTGAGGAAGGATCTGGAATGGACTGGGCAGTGAGGGTGATGCAGGCGATCTTCCTGCCAGGAAGGGGCAGGAGACAAGGCTGGCCCTGCCACCAGGCAGTGCTGGGCACAGCCCCCAGAGTCAGGGACTTGATCACTCCATATCTGTACACCCACCACCATACCCTCCCCTCCCGACCTTGCTGGGAACAGGGGTGGGCACTTCCAGGCCACCCTGGCCCCTAGCACCAGCCCCCACCATCTCCTGGATCATAACCTTGGCCTAGAAGAATCAGGACCCCCAACTTTGACCCCTGAGGCCCCTTCTAATCAAAGCCTCCTCTTGGTTGCCCCTCAGTACTCCCCTCATGACACCCTAAGAGCAGACCCTGTCATGCCCCTGTGGCTGCCTTCTCCCACCCACCCTGACCCTCTCAGGTACCCAGCCTCAACTGCACTGTTCCCCTGGGCCCCATCAACCTGTTCTCTGTACCCATCCTGTCCCAAAGCCACCGGCCCTCCAGTCTCCCTTTCTCCAGGACCTCCCAGACTGTCTGTCCTCTCACCCCAGCTCTGAAACCCCCACCCCCACCCCTAGCCAGCAGGTCTGCCCACCCTCAAGAGGCCCTCACTGTGGCCCCCTCCTCCCCACCTTTAACCACAGCCCACAACCACCCCTTCTGAGCTCCTGCAAGCTGAGGGGAGAGCCAGGGACTGGGCACCTACCTGGGTGACCTTCTCCGTGACATTGTGGGTCCGCTCCTTTATCTTGGGTGCTATGATCTCCCGGTCGCTGGAGGGCGAAGCCAGGAAGGGGTCACCCTTGAGGTCCACAAAGTTGAGGGTGATTTGGGGGATCTTGCTAATGGTGCGGTAGCGCACGAGGTCCGAATCTGATGTGGAATTAAGCAGGCCACTGCGCAGGGGGTGCATGGCCCCTGGGGTGAGGGGAAAGCGGAGTCAGGGTGGCAGGCAGGGATGCATGGCCCTGGGGTGGGGGGAAAGTGGGGTGTGGGTGGCAGGCAGGGGGTGCATGGCCCTGGGGTGGAGACCAGGCCTGCAGGAGCCAGGCCATGGGGGTCAGTGTGTCATGGAAGCCAGCTCAAGAGCTGGGGCAGAGTCTCGGAGAAACAGGCCAGACTCCTCCCCACTTAGGGGAAGCGCTCGGTGAGCAGAGGAGGAGGAGCCTCCCTCGGGCTCTGTTCTAGGGCACTGAGAGCCTGCCAGAGGGCCAAGTAGGGACAGGGCCCCAGATGCTGTCCTGCCCTTCAGACTCCCCCAGGCCACCCCTGCTCCAGGACCCCAGCGGGAGGGAGCTTCATGGGCCCAGCAGGCTCTGAGCGTGCACGAATGAACCGCGATGGATGGGCATTGAGTGGGATTAAACAGGCGCCAATGGGGTTTCCATCCCCCAAGCACCCTGGACGGGTGGAGACCAGGAAGCTACGGTCCTGGAACTGGGCAGGCTGGTTATCACCGGTGGCGGGTGGGGAGGTGCCCTCACCTGTGCTGGC